CTGCCCAAGGGCCACCTGGGCGTGAATTTGTTTAAGGTGAAGAAGCTGTCGCAAACACAACCACCACACCCTGAGTTAACAGCTGCATGACCCAGTGTCAAGGAATCGTCCGAGAAGACCGGACAACTCTCCAACTGCACTGGCTAACCATTACCCAAGGAATACGATCCACAAATCGATTAACATCTAGGTTTCCAATTACTGCTGGGGATCGAACCCGGGTCCGGACGCTTGCAAGGTGAGCATGCTGACCATTACACCACAGGTACACGCACACACGCGCACACACACACACACACACACACACACACACACACACACACACACACACACACACACACGCACGCACACACACACACATTATTTATTATAATTAAAATGTATTTTGATAATTATAGTTTGATGAAAAGTTATTCACATGTAAATTACTTATTAGTGAAGAGATTAATGTGTGTGTGTGTGTGTGTGTGTCATACTATAATTTGAAAAATACGAACACTAGGGAAGTAGTAAAACTCAAAAGCATTCAAGTCTTAGTATCAAGTCTTAAATATCAAGTCTGAGTATGAGGTCTTAGTATGAGGTCTTAGTATCATGTCTTAGTATCAAGTCTTAGTATCAAGTCTTAGTATCAAGTCTTAGCATCAAGTCTTAGTACCAGGTCTTAGTATCAAGTCTTAGTATCAAGTCTTAGCATCAAGTCTTAGTATCAAGTCTTAGTATTAAGTCTTAGTACCAGGTCTTAGTATCAAGTCTTAGTATCAAGTCTTAGCATCAAGTCTTAGTATCAAGTCTTAGTATTAAGTCTTAGTACCAGGTCTTAGTATCAAGTCTTAGTACCAGGTCTTAGTACCAAGTCTTAGTACCAGGTCTTGGGACACACTAAACCAGGGTTTAGTATTTTTGTCTTGAATTCCTTAAACTTAGTAATCACCCTTAAATTTATTTCCTTTCGATATTTACACCTCTATATGGGATGTTGTTGATGTTGTTGGTGTTGGTGTTGGTGTTAGTGTTGGTGTTGTTGGTGTTGGTGTTAGTGTTGGTGTTGTTGGTGTTGTTGGCGTTGTTGGTGTATTCCTACACTGCCCCCAATACTGCTTCCTGCCTCTCCCCCTCTTATTTCTCATACCCTCCCCCCCACCTCCTCCTCCACCACCTCTCTTATCCTCCCTTCTTCCTCCTCCCCTCTCCCTCTCCCTCTCCCTCCCCCACCTCTCCTCCTCCTCCTCCACCACCTTTCTTATCCTCCTTTTTCCTCCTCCCTTCGACTCCCTCCTCCCCCACCTCCTCCTCCTCCCTCCTCCATCACCTTCTTATCCTCCTTCTTTCCTCCCTCCCTCTCACACCCTCCTCCCCCACCTCCTCCTCCTCCTCCTCCACCACCTTCTCTTATCCTCCTCCCTCTCCCTCTCCCCCTCCCCCACCTCTCCTCCTCCCTCCTCCACCATCTTTTCTTATCCTCCCTTCTTCCTTCCCTCCCTCTCCCCCTCCCCACCTCTCCTCCTCCTCCTCCACCACCTTTCTGGTCCTCCTTTTCCTCCCTCCCCTTCTCACCCTCCCTCCCCACCTCTCCTCCCTCTCCTCCACCACCACTCTTATCCTCCCTTCCTCCTCCCTCCTCCCTCCTCCTCCCTCCCACCTCTTCCTCCTCCTCCCCTCCACCACCTTTCTTATCCTCCTTTCTTTTCTCCTCCTTCCCCCTCTCCTCTCCCTCCTCCCCCCTCCCCACCTCCTCCCTCCTCCTCCACCACCTTTCTTATCCTCCTTCCCTCCTCCTCCCTCCCCCACCTCTCCTCCTCCTCCTCCACCACCTTCTTATCCTCCTCCTCTCACCCTCCTCTCCCCACCTCTCCTCCTCCTCCTCCTCCACCACCACTCTTATCCTCCCCTTCTCACCCCCTCCCTCCTCACCTCTCCTCCCTCCTCCTCCACCATTCACTCTTATCCTTCCCCTTCCTTCCTCCTTTCCCCCTCCCTCTCCCACCCTCCTCCTGCTCTTCAAAACCAATCCCTGGTTACTGTACAAAAGAGAGTTGTGTGACAATGACCTAATGGAAAAAAAACAGATCACACAAACGAAAAATTTTCTAAATTAAAAATGTTAAAATTCAAAGATATTAACACCTACTACTGTGCCCTCTTTGTTTACAAATCTATCAATCACTTGCTTGACAATAATTATTTCCAGTACCGGAATAATCAGTGATACAACCTAAGGCCCAGAGCTACTAAGAACATCCCCCAATCCCCCATGCGCTCCTCTCAGTCCCAGACCTCCATAAAATATCCCGGTGTGAAGTTGTGGAACAACTTACTCCCACCCATCCGAGCAAAGACTACGCTCCCTTCCTTTAAATTATCTCTTAAAAAATATGTATTGTCTAAGTATTAATATTTTTGTAATACCTACCTTATATACCTGCTTTTATTGTACCATCAAAACCGTTTTATCGGAAATTATCATGTAAATAGATAAGAAATTACCATTGCAATAAACAATTTCCAACTAGACATAATCCTGACAGCTCTGTCCTCTTGTTCAACCTTATTACTGTACAACCCATGTTGTACTGCTCCCCCATTATACTTATGTTTTTCAATTCCACTGTAATTTATGTATATACTTATAATACAAATAAAAAAATAAACTAAAAAAAATAATAAATAAATAAAATAAATAAATATTGAAATTATAACCGTGGTAACATTATGCGATGTTCTTATTACCACCATGCTATTGTACTATTCCAGATGATATTAATGTTACATAATACTTCCTTGAGATAAATGTATAGTATATATCAGGTGCCGAAAAGAGAGCTCGGGTTCTCAACTGGCTCAGCCATGTTAATATTGTTATTATTATCACTCTGTATCTGGCTAAATAAACTGTTTCAATTCAATTCTCCTCCCATAACTCCTCTCCCCCTCCTCTCACTTTTCTTCCTCCCCTTCCTCCTCCATCCCCCTAACCCAAACCCTCCCACCTCACCTCCTTCTTTCCCCGTATCCACCTTCTCCACCTCACTCCTCTCTCTCTCCTGGGCTTCAGCTTTACTCAACCGAATGATGAAAATGTTCACCCCGCGCAAAATGTGGACGATGGGAGGAATACAGCTGACTGTAAGGGAGATTATGAGGGGAGGAAGAGTATAGTTGACTGTGAGGGAGATTATGAGGGGAGGAAGAGTATAGTTGACTGTGAGGGAGATTATGAGGGGAGGAAGAGCATAGTTAACTGTGAGGGAGATTATGAGGGGAGGAAGAGTATAGTTGACTGTGGGGGAGATTATGAGGGGAGGAAGAGTAAAGTGGACTGTGAGGGAGATTATGAGGGGAGGAAAAGTATAGTTGACTGTGAGGGAGATTATGAGGGGGGAGGAAAGTATAGTGACTGTGAGGGGAGGAGGAGGAAGAGTATAGTGGACTGTGAGGGAGATTATGAGGGAGAGGAAGAGTATAGTGGACTGTGAGGGAGATTATGAGGGGGAAGAGTATAGTGGGTGAGGGAGATTATTGAGGGAGATTATGAGGGAGGAAGAGTATAGTGGACTGTGAGGGAGATTATGAGGAGGAAGAGTATAGTGGACTGTGGGGAGATTATGAGGGGAGGAAGAGTATAGTGGACTGTGAGGGAGATTATGGGAGGAAGAGTATAGTGACTGTGAGGGAGATTATGAGGGAGGAAGAGAGGACAGATTGATGAGATTATGAAGGAGGAAGAGTATAGGACTGGGAGATTAAGAGGGAGGAAGAGATAGTGGACTGTGAGGGAGATTATGAGGAGGGAGAGGAGTTGAAGAGATTATAGGGATGAGATTATGAGGAGGAAGAGATAGTGGACTGTGAGGGAGATTATGAGGAGGAAGAGTATAGTGGACTCTGAGGAGATTGGGAGGAGGAAGAGTATAGTGGACTGTGAGGGAGATTGTGAGGAGGAAGAGTATAGTGGACTGTGAGGGAGATTATGAGGGAGGAAGAGTATAGTGGACTGTGAGGGAGATTATGAGGGGAGGAAGAGTGGACTGTGAGGGAGATTATGAGGGAGGAAGAGTATAGGACTGTTGGACTTATGAGAGTTGACTAAGGGGAGAAGAGAGTAGTGGACTGTGAGGAGATTGAGGAAGAGTGTAGTGGACTGGGGAGATTATGAGGGGAGGAAGAGTATAGTGGACGAGGGAGATTATGAGGGAGGAAGAGTATAGTGGACTGTGAGGGGAGATTAGGGAGGAAGAGTAGTGGATGAGGGAGATTATGAGGAGGAAGAGAGTGGGAGGAGATTATGAGGGGAGGAAGAGTATAGTGGACTGTGAGGGAGATTATGAGGGGAGAAGAGTATAGTGGACTATGAGGGAGGAGGAGGAAGAGAGTAGTGGACTATGAGGGAGATTATGAGGAGGAAGAGTGTAGTGGACTGTGAGGGAGATTATGAGGGGAGGAAGAGTGTAGTGGACTATGAGGGAGATTATGAGGAGGAAGAGTATAGTTGACTGTGAGGGAGATTATGAGGAGGGAGATAGATAGAGGGAGAAGGAGGAAGAGAGTAGTGGACTATGAGGGAGATTATGAGGGGAGGAAGAGTGTAGTGGACTGTGAGGGAGATTATGAGGGGAGGAAGAGTGTAGTGGACTATGAGGGGAGGAAGAGTATAGTTGATTGTGAGGGAGATTATGAGGGGAGGAAGAGTATAGTTGACTGTGAGGGAGATTATGAGGGGAGGAAGAGTATAGTGGACTGTGAGGGAGATTATGAGGGGAGGAAGAGTATAGTGGACTGTGAGGGAGATTACACAGGTAAATATTTGTGGGAGATCATTCCTACACACACACACACACACACACACACACACACACACACACACACACACACACACATAGACTTCACCAAAGCGTTCGACTTGGTCATTCAGAATATGATCATCAACAAAGCCATTGACTTTGGGTTTCCGTGAAGTGTCAGTCCCTGGCTCACAGACTTCCTTGGTGACCAACGCCAAGATGTACACTTCCGAGTTACTGTCTTCACCTGCGTCACTCACCTTCGGCGTCCCTCAAATCACCAAGACGGGACCGTTCAGCTTTCCCATCCTCATCATTGATGCCCTGAGAGAAACTGTTGCTCGCTGGAAATACTGTGTGTCGACGATTCCACCATTGGGATCAATGTGAACAACTCGACTCCCGACTACAGCGCCCTCCAGAATATACTGAACAGTCTCCAAGATTGGTTCACTAAGTCACCATCAACCACGCCAAGACCATGGTTATACACACCAACCTCTATTCCGACCATGCCCCACCTCTTTCCATAACGCTGGGCCCCAACACACACAAAATTTTCCGGCTACCGTCTCCACATCCTCCGTCGTCGCAATGTTTATACTTCCTAAACTCATTTATGCTACCCTTGCCTAGTCTCCCTCCTTAACTCTTAGAAGAGGGCGTGCAAGACTATTCTCTCTCTCTTACTCCACATGTCAACAAGTGCTCGGTACACGGATTCTCTTAACTCTTTCTGAGCATTATCATAACCTCATCCGCTACCACCTCCTACTGTCAACCTATACCACCTCTCACTAATCTCTATAAGGACAGCCACATTCTAGCCTATGTAAAAGTCACCAACAACTTGTTAAATGACCCTCCCCCATATTACTGTATATATGTACAGTACTTCTTATGTCATCTGGCTATATGCAGTTCATGGCTTATGTACTGTATACTCGAACTGTGAATTATTATTATTATTATTATTATTATTATTATTATTATTATTATTATTATTATTATTATTATTAATATTATTATTATTATTATTATTATTATTATTATTACACACACCCACACACTTAAGTGAGAGATATTTTTAGCTTACTCTTATCATGTAATGGTACCAGTACCAGTGCCACTACTTGTAATGGTGCCAGTACCAGTGCCACTACTTGTAATGGTGCCAGTACCAGTGCCACTAATTGTAATAGTGCCAAGGACAGTGCTAATACTTGTAATGGTGCCAGTACCAGTGCCACTACTTGTAATGGTGCCAGTACCAGTGCCACTAATTGTAATAGTGCCAAGGACAGTGCTAATGCTTGTAATGGTGCCAGTACCAGTGCCACTACTTGTAATGGTGCCAGTACCAGTGCCACTAATGGTGCCAAGGACAGTGCTAATACTTGTAATGGTGCCAAGGACAGTGCTAATACTTGTAATGGTGCCAAGGACAGTGCTAATACTTGTAATGGTGCCAAGGACAGTGCTAATACTTGTAATGGTGCCAAGGACAGTGCTAATACTTGTAATGGTGCCAAGGACAGTGCTAATACTTGTAATGGTGCCAAGGACAGTGCTAATACTTGTAATGGTGCCAAGGACAGTGCTAATACTTGTAATGGTGCCAGGACGGTGCTAATACTTGGCAATGGTGCCAGAACAGTGCTAATACTTGTGTGGTGCTTAAGGACAGTGCTAATACTTGTAATGGTGCCAAGGACAGTGCTAATACTTGTAATGGTGCCAAGGACAGTGCTAATACTTGTAATGGTGCCAAGGACAGTGCTAATACTTGTAATGGTGCCAAGGACAGTGCTAATACTTGTAATGGTGCCAAGGACAGTGCTAATATACTTTAGCAATGAACACTTGGGACAGTGCTAATACTTGTAATGGTGCCAAGGACAGTGCTAATACTTGTAATGGTGCCAAGGACAGTGCTAATACTTGTAATGGTGCCAAGGACAGTGCTAATACTTGTAATGGTGCCAAGGACAGTGCTAATACTTGTAATGGTGCCAAGGACAGTGCTAATACTTGTAATGGTGCCAAGTTATAACCGTTTGAGAACGATGTCTTAAGTTATTACTGTGTCATTAGTACTCGGGGTGGCTGCCTGGCCCGGTAAGGTTGTCAGGTTTTGTGAGATTCAGTTTTATTGGTTTTGACTGGTTTAGTAAAGTGGCGTGTCTGGTCCACCGTACCAGTCAGAATGGAGGGCCTGGGGTGGGAAGAGTGGCAGAGAGGGGGAGGAGGGTGAAGGAGGGAGGGAGGAAGGAGGTGAGGGAGGGAGAGAAGGAAGGAGGAGGGAGGAGGGAGGGAGAGGGAGTGAGGGGAGGGAGGGGAGGGAGGGAGGGAGGGGGGAGGGAGGGGGTGAAGGAGGGAGGAAAGGGGAGGGGGTGAGGAGGAGAGAAGGAGGGAGGGAGGGAGGGAGGAGGGAGGAGGGAGAGGAGGGAGGAGGGAGGAGGGAGGGAGTGAGGGAGGGAAGGAGGGAGGGAGGGCCCACATAATCTTAATAAAATAATACCCCAACCTCCCCTTCCACTATTTTTCCTCAAGTTTAATTAGATGAGCGAGTGGGGGGCGCGTGGGGTAGAGGTGGAAGGGGAGGTCGGAGGGGTGGATGTGATGGGAAAGGTGGGGGAGTTAGTAAAGGGAAAGGTCGGAGGGGGGCAGTGGAGAGGCAGATTGAAGGGGAGATGGGAGGTGGGAAGTAAAAGGATGCTGGACCCTCTTCACTCTGTCAGCAGTGTGTGTGTGTGTGTGTGTGTGTGTGTTTTACCTTCTTAGACGACCGTAGACTGCCACGAAGCTACTTTACAGTCACTTCGCGAATGGTAAACGCAACGCTGGCGGGCAACGGAAAAGGTATAAGGATAGAAATTAAGACAAACCTGAAAAAGTGTCAAATCGACCCCCTCACCTGGGAGACTGTCACTCCACACCGTAACGCTTGGTGGAGCACCACACGAGAAGGTGTCAATACTTTCCATTTAGCCCGACGAGCACCAACGCCGGAAAGACGTTGCCGCCGCCCCTCCCAAACTATATGTAGCCCTCCACACGTGCAACATCTGTGGACGGGCCTGCCGATCCCGTAACGGACTCTCGAGTCACCCCAGAGTTCACCAACGAAGGTGACATCCTTAATAACACATATCATTGTATCATAGCTGGATGATCGTCATACTTGATACCGAGTGACAGCAGAGTAGTGTGTGTGTGTGTGTGTGTGTGTGTGTGTGTGTGTGTGTGTGTGTGTGTGTGTGTGTGTGTGTGTGTGTGTGTGTACCACAACGGCGGTATAGGTGGAAGAGGTTACCAACATGGGAACCCAACGACTACACCACGGATGAAGGCAATGTAAGATTGACAGGCTACGAAGGTAAAACCCAAGAAACTGGGCTATCAGCAGTCCATTGTAACACTCCCTCTTCCCAATAGTTGCAACTGTTTGAAGCGCTGGACCAGGAAAAGGGAGAGCCAAGATGCGTGTTTGCAGCCTGCGCTCCTGCCCCACCACATAAATCAACTCAGGTGCGGCCATCATCCAGCTCGCCATACTTATCATCATCAAAACCCCTATACCCCTAAAAGTCCTATGGCGACGGACGAGTGGCGACGGGGACAAGCAGAGATGACTGCCGGGAGTCTCTAGTCACAACTCTGCACATGGGCGGCATAGATAAGAAAGTCGTTTATGCACTGGGATCTAGGCAGTAGTGTAATCGAGTCCTGTCTGTGTAACTGAGCAGCCCTTTCGAGGAGCCACTCTTCTCACCCCACAAAGGGAGGGGGCTAGAAATTATGATCTAAACATAGCCTGCCTAAAGAACCAACCCGACTGGGCAACCACACACAATAAGGCCATTATTATGTGGGCAAAAACTCAATCATAATCACAGTTCAAAACAAATTATACAATCTCCTATGGTAGCTGCATTAAATGTTAGGACCCTTCTGGATACTGGCATAAATGAGCATTCTTGTGGCAAAAGAGCATTTACAGAGTTGGCGTTTACAGAGTTCGCCAATACATTCCACATAGGTTAATCAAAATGCCGTTCCGAAGCCCACTGAATCACTCACGTCATGCCTTCTTCATTAGTGCATATGCCCCAAAATGGATGCAGAGGATGATATCAAGGAGGCTTTTTATGCCGACCTTGACTGAGTGATAACCTGTATCCCCAGAGAAGATAAGGTTGTGCTCCTAGATGGCTTCAATGCCAGAAAAGGAGCAGATGCTCTCTTTTGGAAAGGAATCATAGGGAGAAATGGAGTAGGCATGTGTAATCTCTATAGCCTACTCCACCTCAGCAAGTGTGATGCAACAACCTCACTTTCACTAACACCTTTTTTAGGCAGTCCAACAAGTTCAAGGGTTCGTGGGAACACCCACGATCCTAACGCTGACATTTCATTGACTACGTGATTGTCAGAGAAAGAGATCGCCGACATGTTTTCATCACCCGAGCCATGCGTGGCTCAGACCACTGTAACATTGATCATTGGCTCGTCAGAGCCAAACTCTGTCTTCACTTCGCCCCAAAACGGCGAAGGTAACAAGCCTCCAGAAGATGTTTTATCACTAAGCGTCTGGAGGATCCAGCGGTAACACATGATTTCAGAGAGCAGCTCGAACATTGGCTGATAAACAACCCGACAACAAAAAACCCAAATCCCAGTACCGATTGGGATACTCTCAACACTGTTATGACAAAAACCTGCAGATAGAACCTCGGCCAGATCAAAAAGAATATAACAGAACCGGTTTGATGAAAATGATCCGGAAATAAAAATCTAAAGAACGAATGGTTGAAAAATAAAGCATGTCAAACGCAACAATTTGCAGATAAACACAAGATGCCCAATCTTTTTTAAATTCCACTAAACATTTTATGGGCCAATTACTCATGGCACAGCTCCCTTCTGCTCATCTGAAGGTAACTCCCTAATTAAAGAAGAAGAAAGTATCCATTAGCGCTGGAAAGAGCACTACCATTTGCTGCTCAACCAACCCACTTCAGCTATCCTCCATTCCTGGATGAGGTAGCTATTGCCATCAAATAAATGAAAATAACAATGCCGCAAGGCCTGAAGGAATCCCAGCCGAGGTGTATAAAGCAGGAGGACCTCTACTTACCAGCTGTCTCCACTCTTTCCTGGAGAATATATGGAAACTGATGAACTCTCCCAAGCTCATAAAGACGCTTCCATCTTCAATATTTATAAAAACAAGGGAGACCGGCCAGACTGTGGCAACTACTTCGAGATCTCGCTGCTGTCCATAGCGAGCAAGATTTTCACTCGAGTCCACCTACTAAACAGACGTCTTACTAAAGTAGAAAAACTTCTTCCCAAATTCTCAATGTGGATTTAGACTATCACGTGGCACCACTGACATGATCTTTGCTGCCCACGTCCTGACTTGTACATGGTCTTCATTGACCTAATTAAGGCCTTCGACTCGGTAAACAGGGAATCCCTCTGGCGGACTCTTAATCGTTTTGGCTGCCCACCAAAATCCATTGCAATTGTAAGGCAATCCCACGTTGGCATGAACGGCAGTGTCCTGTATATTTGTACCCTATCTGACCTCATCCACATCCAAACAGGAGTAAAACTAGGATGTGTATTGGCACCAACTCTCCTATCCAGTTTCTTGGCTGCCTCGTGCCGGTGCCAATTTAGCCGGCGGGGTGGACATCCAGTACAGGATGAAGGGATTTTTCAAACTAAGAAGACTCCAGGCAGGAACAAAGGTGTCGGCAACTTTCATTACTGACCTTCAGTATGTAGACGACCTCACCCTCGTCGCTCACACTGAACACGACCTACGGGAGATCCGGAGCACCTATGTAGATGCGTATGCACACTCTGGCCTTGATGAGAATGTACGTAAGATTCATATTCACTTTCAGCCTGCGCCTGGTTCATCCACACCTCACCAATCTGTCCAGCTTAACGGTACTACCCTCTCAAATGTTACCCTCGCTCAATAACTCGGCTCCCACCTTTCCACTACCGCAGACATCGATGAAAAGATTCAACAACGGATTAGATGTGCATCTCAAGCCTTTGGAAGACTCCGTACACGTCTCTTCAGGTGTAGGGGGCTCAAATTATCTACAAAGTTACAAGTACATCGAACAGTGGTCCTCTCTACCCTTCTATATGGCAGCGAGACATGGATCACATACGGAAGGCACCTGACTGCACTTGAAAACTTTTACAAAAGTAGTCTACGTTCCATCCTCCGAGTTCGCTGGGAAGGCAAGAGAACAAAATTAATGTCAGTATTCTCACTGACATCAGCTGCAGGAGCATCGAGGCTACCATTATCCATGAACAACTACGTTGGACTGGCCATGTTACTGCTTCTGTATAGCACCTAACGAATGGTAAACGTAACGCTGGCGGGCAACGGAAAAGGTATAAGGGTAGTCTTAAGACAAACCCAAAATGTGCCAAATCGACCCCCTCATCTGGGAGATGATCAATCCACATCATAACGCTTGGAGGAGCACCACACGAGAAGGTGTGAATACTTTTGAATTAGCTCAACTGCAAACCGAGGCAGACAAGCACCAGCATTGGAAAGACGCTGACGTCGCCCCTCCCGTACTAGATATAGCCCCCCCCCCCACAAGTGACACATCTGTGGACGACCCTGCCGATCCCGTATCGGCCTCTCGAGTCACCTCAGAGCTCACCAAAGAAGGTGACATCTTCAATAACTTTAATAATAATTGCATCATAGCTGGATGATCGTCATACTCGATTCCAAGTGACAGCAAAGTAGTAGTCTGTCGAAAGACTAATACGAAAAGTGGAGGCTCATGGAATTGGAGGAGAA